TTATAAATGCCAGAAGTGTAAGCTTGTGTTCTTCTTAGAAAGAAGGTGAAAGGAATTGAGGAATATAAAGTGTATAAGAAAAGATTAAAATTCTTGGAGAGGATAGCTGAAGTTCTCCAAAAGGGTCAGAGAAGTTAACAAAAAATAAGAAAACTCTCCCTTAGCATACTATACATATATGTGGATGGATTGCGATCCAAAAAAGTAAGATCAGGAAGCACTTGTTGCCAGAACTCAGACATTTACCAAAGTCCCCCTCTAGAGGACACGTTGCAGAACGTTGTAAAAGTCACGTTGGCTTCCATGAACATTAGAAATCCAAAAGTTAACTTGAGACAGAAGAGGCAGGTTGTGCTAGTAGATTATTCCCTGTCATGTGGAAGTGCTGTATGTAGATGCAATGTGATGTTGGCATGAGATGTGTTGTCTTTTAGGGATCTGTATACAGAACACGAGAGAGTTCCAGCCCTATAAGCTAGACTGGACTAAGAAGACACTGTGTAGACCTAAAACTACTTTTATTAAAATAGCTATAACACTGTAACAGAAATTTACAAATCTGAATGGCCTTCCCTTCCTCCTTTAATCTTCATGTGAATTAGGACAGAATTTGTCTGATGTGTTTTCCTAAACTATTTTCTTCATCTGGACTTAAGCCTCATTTATCTGATTATTGCTTTGTAACTGATCTTCCCTGTCTTATATTCACTACACCAAGTAAAGCCATGCAGGAAGTAGCAGAGGTCATTATAGAACCATTCTCAGTAAGCTTTGAGAACACCTGGGGGACTAGGGAGGTCCCACAAAATTAGAGAAGAGTGAATTTCATCCCATCTTCAAAAGGGGGGAGGAGAAGAACCTAGGAAATACTGTTACTTTGATGTCTACTGAGCAAGAATAGTTCTTGTCGGTCTATCAAGGTGAACCAAACTAAGAAACTGATAACATATAGGTCAAGACTACTTTTATTGTAACCGCTGTAGTAACAAAATCTAGCAAGTCTGAATGTGCTCTCCCCCCTCCTGCTCACTTCATGTAAACTAGGAAGGGGCTTTCTCAAACTACTTTCCTGGCCCTGGCTCTTAATTCCTCTTATCTGATCATTGATCACAGTAGCTCTTCATCCTATCCTTCTTTCTGAATGTGATGCCATCTGAGATATGTTAAATGTTCCTTCTAGGATTTTAAAGGATTCATCTGTTTTCCATGGGACTTTGGAGAGTAGGGGTTTATTGAGATTCTAAAAGCTTTTTCTGCAATAATTGTATAAATTTTACTGCACCAATTTAGTGGCTTGGGTATTTTTATTGCTATTTCTAGTTTTTTATTGTTTTTTCTTTGTTTGAAGATTTTTTAAAAAATGATTTTATGTTTATTTGTATTTTAAGTCCATGTTGATTAATGGATGTGGTCTTTAAATGGTTCTTCTTCTAAGGACAATTTATAAATAATTTAAATGCATTACCATAATATCTTATGAAATGCAATACCATACAAATCATTTTGCTTAATATAGCCACATTAAAATATTTCTACTTCACCTGTAGCAATAATTTGTTAACAATGTGATTTAGATTCTCGGTTCACATGACAATTGTTAATCATTCATCCTTCCAGGGATAATTGATAATTCTGAACTATGTCCATTATGTTTATTGAAAACAGTGGCTAAGACAGATAGAATTATAGTTTACATCTTATTCTTTTGAAAAGACATGTTTGACAAAAGTCACTGAAAGGCATAAGGCAAACATAATTAACGAGTCTTAATGGTTATTGTCCAGTTCCACTTACATCTATCATTATGAAATGTTTTGAAAGGCTAGTAAAGAATTTTATTGTATCCAGCCTCCAGCATTTGACTCACTTCAGTTTGCTTACAGTCAAAATTGCTCTACAGAGGATGCTATTTCCTCTGTTCTCCATCTGATCATGGCACCCTTAAGAGGAAAAAAAATACTGATGTGTGAATGCCGTTTGTCAATTTTAGTTCAACATTTAATATGATCATTTCTCAGCATTTAGAGCCTGTTAGGCTTCAATACTTCTTTATGCAACTGAATTCTTGATTTTCTCACTAATAGGCCCCAATATGTGTATGCTGGGACTAATATTTCTAACACAATTTTCTTTAGCACAGGTTCTCCTCAGGGCTGTACCCTAAGTCCGCTGTTGTTTACTCTGCTGACCCATGACTGTTGTGCAAAGTTTACTATCAACCATATTGTGAAGTATGCAGATGATACATCAGTGGTGAGCTTTATTCAGGATGATAATGAGGGTGATTACCGGGAGGAGATAGAGGGTTTGATGAACTGGTGTAATAAAACAGCCTGGTTTTAAATGTAGAAAAAACAAAAGATTAGTTGATTTCCGAAAAGGCAGCCACAGCCATACACCTCTGTGTATTAACAATTCACAGGTAGTTAGCAGCATCAAGCGTCCAAGGTTACCTTGTTTGCTTAACAGTGACACTAGAGAAGCGGGCATAGTAGTGCCTGCATTTTCTGCATCGTATGAGAAGAATACATCTTCCTTCCCCTGTCCTTACCACTTTCTAGAGAGGGATGATTGAAAGTATCCTTCGTATTGTATTACTGTGTGATTTGGAAATATTTTTTCAGATAGGAAGGCTGCGCAGAGAGTGGTGAGGATGGCAATAAAGATTATTGGAAGTTTACTTCCTCCTATCCAGGACGTAGCATATAAGCACTGCTTGACCAGAGTCCTCAGTATTGTCAGGGACACTATACATCCTCTTCGTGACTGGTTTTCTTTGTCACCTTCTGGGAGGAGGCTTTGTAGTATCTGAAGCAAAACAGCTAGATTCTAGATTAGCTTTGTACCATACAGTATCAATCTTGTTAGTTTTCAAAAGTCTTTTTTCCGCTTTGTATTCAAAATGGACTGTGATCATGCATTTGTGTGTGCATGTATGTGCATGGGTATATTTATTTCTTGTTCTTTTGACAGCAGGGATCAGAATTTCATTTTTTAATGTGTGCCAGTGTGTTCACAGAAAAAAGTGACAAAAAAGCTTGTCTTGTCTTGTCCTGTCCTGTCCTCTTAATTACATGTTAGCACTGGAATTCATTCAGTCAGACAGAGTATGTAAAGGAGCTGAAACATTTGTAATACATCTCATAGTGAACAATTTTTGGATTTGCTTGATAGATTATTTGTTTTTCATTTATTGCTTCTGTGTGCTTCTTTTAGAGTCATTGCAATGGTAGGCAGGGGGTAAATTTAAATTTGTTTACATAGAATTCATTAACATTTTTATCTCTGAATCAGCACTTGTTTCTGTGTTTCTCCCGAGAAATAATAATACCTGATTTTCACACAGACAAAATACATCAAGATTTCTTTGATAAGGAAATTATTCAGCACTTCTGAGAACATATTTACTGTATATATGGGTTCAGTTTTGTCCCTTCTGATACTGGGAAAACTCTCCTCAAAGCTGCTGTGGCCATCCTATGGAATGTGACCTCTGGGTTCAAACCTCAGGGTTAGTCAGATCATGAGCATTCAGTAAAAGCTTAGCATTGCAGGCATTACCATCCCACATTTAATTAAATTACTTTAGGAGCTTTTTGTTACTACAGTATGTACGTTAGCTGAGTCATCTGTGAACTGATAGAATTTGAGGGTTTTTGTTGTGAAAATTGCATAAGGTGCCTTTGGGAAGAAATGAAGAAGCCAACAGATAATAGGAAACACCACTGAAAATTATGCCCCATTTACTGTAAGTAAGTTGGCATACCAGTATTACACATGGACAATTTCCAATTCAAATGGCCAAAGTAGTGGGAGGAAGGAAATGGGAAATTCAGTTTACTGATTCAGGAGGCCTTTCAACAACATCCTTAGGGCCCAAGTCCTTTACCTGGGCCAATCCATGCAGTATTCACAGGCATCAAGAACTTAGAAGACAAACAAATTCATAAACTAGTTATTCAAAATATGGGGAAACTAACATCTTAACTCCTAAATAATATCCAATGACTTTTATACAAGTACATTTCAAATAGCAATCTGAAGAATAATTACCTATTTCTTAGGGCCTGGAAAAGGCCTATTTCTTAGGGCCTGGAAAAGGCCTCTGGAGCCCAGATCGGGCTGCGAGGGGGGGCACATGGAAGCCTCCCCTGGCCTTAGATCTGGGCTGCAGCAGCTTGGAAAAGGCCTCCGGAGCCCTGATCCAGCCTCCGGAGGCACGTGGAAGCATCCCCCAGCTTCAGTTCTATTCTCTGTTGCAGACAACAGAGGCCTAAAATACCATGAGATCACACAAGATCAGTAGCGTGAGATCTCGCATGATCTTGCATTACTTTAGGCCTCCATTTTCTGCGAACGCACTGAAGGCCTGGAGCAGCCAATAAAGTGAAGGATCTCGATGTTCCTAAGGTGAGTATTGAAGGCCTGGTGCCTAGGGAGACCCAGGGTGAATGTTGCAGAGCCACTGTGGTTGCTCGTAAGGGTGAACGACTGCCGTGGTGCTGCAATATTCGTAACTTTGGGACTTGCTCATAAGCATAGAGGGCACTCATCACGTAACTTTGAAAGAGTGTTAAGTGAATGCTCATAACTCGGGGATTACCTATAGTGAATTTGACGGATATTGAAGCAGTTGAGTGCTGAGGTATGACACTATTTCTTATAGCACAATATTATCCAGCAATGCATTTCTTTATGACCAAGATCCTTCCCTAAATCCAATTTTGTAATAGGCCTTTCCAGTGTTAATTAAAAGCTTCTTGTTGGCAAGTTCAGAATATTTAATTGCTTTCTTTGAGGATTTATTGCAAAGTTGAGGAACATGTTTTAAATCAGCCAAATAAGTAAATAAAAACATGGCCTTATTTTTATATCTCTCTCATGAATTACAGAAAAATTATAGAAAAATATATTAAAAAAATTCAAAAGCATATATTATACAATATATGTATCAGGCCTGCCCCAACTAGGTTCCTAGGAAAGAAAGACCCTTGACTCCATTTTGTTGAACTGATAGGTTCTTTTACTAAAGATTGCTGGCTGCAGTAAAGGCAGGCTAGAACTAAAGTTCCCATGCAAAAGGTTACAAACTTTTTCCCTTTTGCCCTGGCCCTCCCCCCTGACCAGTTCGTCTTCAGCCAATGGTGAACCGCAGAGGTGTTTTGAGAACCTCTCGGACGTTTGGAGCAATCCATATTCCGTTCTCAAGCTTCATGGCCTTGAAGACTGGCACAGGCTGGTTTCTTGTACCTCTGGTTTCTCTCACAATCATTTGTTTCATTTTTCTCCAAAACATCTATGGAGAAATATTTTCAGTGTAACTAATTGGACAAGGCCGATTATAAAAAACATGTAAGCTGCTGCCTGATTCTCCAAACTGCAATGAGAACTAAGGAACACTGGCAAAATTAATCATGCTTGTGCATATGTTAAACATACAATTCTTTCAATTTAAAAATAATTAAGTGCCTTGGCACTTGCCTGGTCCCACCCCCTTCTGCCACAGACCCTCAGATCTGTCCCACTCCTGCCCAGGCCTCCACAGGCACCCATGATGCGAATGATGTAGAGCTAGCCACACCCACTCCATCCACACCCACCCAGTATGCACACCCACCCTGGCCACACCCACCCAGCCACCTAAGGGCAACCGCAATGCTAATGCGGCCCTCAGTGAAATTGAGTTTGACATCCCTGGTCTAGAGTACTTCGAGGAAATTCGTTTCTGTAATGCTTCTAAAATACTTCATGGAAATCGGTTCTGCCATTGTTTCTAAAGTACTTCAGGAATTTGGATGGAAAGTACTTATCAAAGGCAAGGTCAATATTATAACTATCACTTAATTTTAAAAAGGTTAAATAAGACCTAAGCTTGTAGGCAAATTTAGTCACGTTTTTCATGGTGTGCAAAGAGGTAAGAGTCATCAAAGCATCTAATAATTAAACCACTTATGACACCAATTAAGGATGCAGGAGAGTATATTAATATTAAACAGCACTTCTCACATGACAAAAGCATTCAAGGATCAATAATTAATTAATAGATATACCAACCAAGCCTTGTTATCTCTTGTCTGGCAGCGGTAGTACCGGAATAGTAAATAAAAGTATATACTGTAAAAAAGCTGTTCAGCTCTCTGGAAAATTTGACAGCCTAAGTTTGGAATCTCTGCCCCTAAAAACTCCTTGCCAGCTGTTTGGCAGCTGTCACTCTCCAAGTATTTGGTTGCCTGCTTGCGGGTTTGTTGATTTAAAGTATTTGTACATAGGCAGCTCAAAATTGACTCCAGATATTTCATAAAATAAAAATACATCAAAAGATATATAAAACAAATGCAAATAAAACAAGTATCCATCTCAAAAACAAGTGCAAAGGTTAAAGTATAACTGAAACCAGGAACTCTGCCTTTTCTACTGACTGTAGTTTCTGAATCGTTTTCACAGGCAGCTCCATAACAGTTTGTTACAGTCCTCCAAGTGCCAAAAAGAACATGAATCTCTGTAACTGGGGCCTCCTCATCCAGATAGGCCCACTACATGATAACCGTCTTGCTTAGCAACAGGAATTCTGGTCCCAATTGTGGTTGTAAGTTGAGGACTATCTGTACGGCTTTAAAACTGATAACTTTGGGGCATTCTGAAAGTACTTGAGAATTTCCCAGTGAGCTAGCAACTAGCTCTGTTACATGCTTTGGTGAGGTCTGGAACTCATATGCAATATGGCAGTGTTTCCCAAACTTGACAATTTTAAGGCATGTGGACTTAAACTCCCAGAATTCTGGGAGTTGAAGTCCTCATGCCTTAAAATTGTCAAGTTTGGGAAACACTGCAATATGGGAACTAAATGAGATTGCTGGGGAGACAATGAACACTCCAGAAATGTTGTTGATAGATAAAAGAATCTAGCTTAATCCCAGTTCCTGTTAGCTCTGGAGAGGGTCACACTCCCCAAAGATTTGCAACTTGGGTTTTCCTAAACTTTGTTCTGTGCTAGGTCCTTGTCACCATGCTTTTACAATTCCTGCCTTTTGGTTCTAGAAATCCTTACAACTGTAACATTACACACTTTGCCTGGATCTGCCTTTGAAAACTACCCCCCCAACTGAACTTTTTATTCAAAATTCAGCAGCATGGCTAATGCGGGTTAGCCACTGTAGTGATGCAACGCTTATGATACAGTTGCCAGTATGTTTCAGTCCAATCCAAGGTGCCGGTGGTAAACTATGAAGCCCTCCATGGCTCAGCTCCCACTTATCTTCAGGACCATCTTCTCCCAGTTAAGAAGGGAATGTCTAGGGTCCCTACCTAAGCAATCAAGGAATGAAAGCCAGGAGATAGATAGCCCTTTTCAATGGTCCCCCAAAACAGAACTCTAGAGATTCATTTGAACTTTGTCCAGTTGGCTTTTCATGAAGTCATAAAAATGGGTCTATTCCAGCAGGTGTTCAGGTACAGTAGTGATAATGAACCCTCTCTTTTTGTTGATTTTTAATTCTAGCATTACATTTTTAAAGTAATGGGAATGGACATTTGATATTTATTATGCATTTTACCATTGTAAACAGTGTCTTTGCAATCGTGCAGGATATATTGTTCTGTTGTAATAACAAACAAACTCATGAGTAGTTCATAACCTACATCTCGGCACAAACAGAAAAACCAAAATGGCTTTCCTAAGTACCATGCAGAAAACAGTATCCAAATGAAATTAATTAACATAGTGGGATTTTTTTCATATATATGTATTTATAACAGCATACTACATGTTCATTTCAATTTCTTCCACATGGCAGAGATTTTTCAAAGCCCTTAATGGTTATAGTCTCGTGCCCAGATGTTGAAACTTCCATAAGGCATTACTTATATAAAGTAATTAAAAAGTGGGTGCATTCATCCAGGAAACACATATTTCTTCCGCTTCACACCCAAATGATGAACAGGGAATGTAGGCATTATTTGGTTATGTAACACTGACAAAAGTCATGTGTGACACCAAGCTCTCTTCTTAGAATATTACCAGGCTTATTGTAAACTAAGGTGCCTGCCTTAACATAGAAAGTAAAACTAAGGGGGAAATGCAGACATTTTGTGCAGCTGATGAACTTGAAAATAAATTAATCCACAAGGTTTTGTATATAACCAGTGAATATATGTGCAATAGTCTCAAATACAAATACTTTAGATTTGAACATCACATTTTCAGAAACCTCACTTTCAACATTAGGAAATATTCAAGCATCCAACCTTCCAACTGTGGGATGAGATGCAACAATATTGCCCAGATGGCAGATCCTTGCCCTTCCTCCCACATAGACGCATTGAGGTCCAACAGCCACAACAGCAATTTCCGCTGTTGTGTATTCTGCATGCTTCCCTATACTTTTTCATTATTGTTGCTGTATTTATATTTGAACTTTCTTAAAAGTTGTTGTTCTAGATGCAAACAAGAAACATATTATATTTGTCTTTGGCAGCACTTGACTGATTATGCCTGAACTCTGAAGCTGCGCAGGGCTGAACTTCATTGATAAGTATTTGGGTAGGAGAAATTCCATAGTGCAATGAAAATACTGCAGACAATTCAAAACATCCCATGAAAAAGCCAATGGCAAAGCACTTCTCTGTAGTTGCCAAAACTCCCCAACATGGTTGTATCCTTGTTATCATAAAGAACTGACCTTAAGGTAAAGGCATCTTTACTCTTTTTCGCTATCTGTCCATGAAGTTACTAGGAGGGGAATTCAACTTCAAGAGACTCTGTATTTCTAAAACTTTAAGGTGGCCTCATTTTAGCCCCAAAATTATTTTCTAGGTCTGAAGATTCTACAAATATCAAAATCATTCAGACATAATCAAAGCAAAAATTTTATGGTACCCAAAAGGTAATTCTTCAACAATAACAACAGACCATTAGGGTTCCACTAACTTTCCAAACACCTTGCTTGGGAGAACTTCCAGCTCCTAAATCCTTTCTGAAAGGGCAGCAGCATTCAGATGAATCCAATCTCACATGTGGCAAAGCCAGGTGTCATGATAGAAGAGAGTATTGCTAGATGGCATTCTTAAATCAACAGGAACCAGAACCACCCCTCCTGCTGTATCTAATGGGGAGAGACAAAATTGGGAGAGATGGTCCCTCCAATATCCTGGCTCCATGCCATGAAGCACTATATAGTGAAATCAGTATCTTGAATTGGATCCAGAAACTATTGAGAGCCAGGGCAGCTCACAAAATTAAGTTGTAACGTAGACAGTACTTAAAAGCACTGTGCCTGTGCCACTGTATTCTGGAGTTAAGTGCAGCTTCTTTATGTTCTTTACGGGCAGCTCCATATACAGCACATTGAAGTAATGAAACCTGGAGGTGACCAAAGCAAAACTGACTGTGTGCTATGCCTCCAGTTCCAGGAAAGGGCCCAGCTGGAGCACAACAGAAAGCTGTGCAAAAGCTCTCCTTGCCATGGCTGCCACTGTTCCACAAAAGGAAACCAAGAGACCAGGAAGACCCTCAAATAGATTCTAGAACAAAAGATGGACAATTACCAGGACCAGGAAGACCTAAAACACCAAATTACTGTCTTGTTAGGACTGAGCTAAAAAACCTGTTCCTCCTCATTCAGATCCACAATCTCTACACCTCAGAACAGGACTTTCACAGCAGCCCTTGGCCAGCTTGAGGCAGAGAGAGATACAAGTAAATATCTCAGCATACTGATGCAAATTCGAGTCCTGATAGTTCTGTTCATATGTCTATCTGATCCCATAAACTTTTTTCTATCTGGCAGCTGAGTCTATTTATTTCCAACTCTGATGCAATACAACTGTGGGTTTTTGAATTTATTTTTTATCCTGCCTTTATTTTTAATAAATAAATGTTTAGTTAATACTCCTTCTGCCTCCTATTTTCCCCACAACAATCCTGAAAGGTGAGTTGGGCTGAGAGTGACTGATCCAAGGTCACCCTGCTGGCTTTCATGGCTAAGGAAGGACTAGAACTCAGGTCTCCAGCTTTCTAGTCTGGTGCTTTCACCATTACCACAAACTGGCTCAGTTTTTCAATGGATCTACAGCCCCTCCCCCAGAGGCATTTTGGGGGAGCTGCTTTTCAATTGGCCAGAATGCTTTCCTGCAGTTTCTCAACAATTCGTTTGTTTGTTTTTTAAATAATAGAGGGTTAAAGCTTTGGTGGGGCAATCCTCAGCAGCTATTCCACTGTGAGAGATGCTAAGCATCAAGTGAAACTGATTGCAAGTGAGGGTACATTGAGGATTTTTTTTTTCTGTTGTCCTATTGGTCATCTACAAGGTGCAATGACTGCCTTCACTGGCCTTTGCATTTCGAGGTCAGATGACGAGATTACCAGCCAGCTCAAAATATTTTTTTAGGGGTTAGAGAGTGAAAGTATTGATGGTGCAGAAAGGATCCAATTAAGCTGAGCTGCTCAGGAAAGCTTATGCCTTTAATAGAATCTGCTAGTCAGAGAACAGGATACCAGACTCCGAATCTCCGAACACTGTTTACCCGTATGGATTATATGAATGAGATCAAATGTACTTTAAAAAAAAAAATGACAGGAAAAGGCAATGCACAACACGGACCAAGAAATAATATCGCTTCAAAGCACACAGAAGAAACGAAAATGCACATGCATTTAAAACGCTAGAGGGGAAAATAACATCCGTATTTTTATATATGCGCGATATCAGGAGTTTCTAACTGCAGGTTCATAAAATTGCAGCCCATTGCACCGAGAGGTCGGTTCGTTGACTGCATTTACCTGCTTTAACATTACCAAACCTTTCCCCGACCTTGCAGGCTGATGCAACACGTCTGCACACACTCCGTCCACTCACATCTTACTTCGGAGAAGCACGAAACTTAACAATTTAGAGCTAACGAACAGTGACAAAAATCCCCCATTCACCCTTCCACGCCGCCACCCTCGATTTCTACTTAAGCTCCGTTCCATTCTGGAACCTTCCCAGAGCTAGAGCCATCGACTCGTGCCCGCACAACAACGTGGGAGAGAAAGGTGTGGGGGGGATAAGCGTCGGCAGAGGAACGTGCCTTCCCTTCCATATATGGCCACAACCGGAAGAGCGTCCGTCACGCCGCCAGCTCCTAATGTCTCTGCGGGCTGCTGAACGTCATGACGCTGTGACGTATCCTGCGAAACACCCTAGAAACCAAATAATAAACATGAGCAGGCGCAGTGAGAGAAGTAGAAGTAGAAGTAAAGTTCAATGCGATGGGCAAGAATTATATGAAGTCACGCAAACTTTCAAGACTAGTGTTGTTGTTTTTTAAAAAAAGCTTTTCACTTTTACTTTTGCTTTGCTGCTTTTATTTGAAGTAGAGGAATTCCCTTCCTCTTCCTCTCAACCATCAAAGGAGCCAGAGAATTCCATTTTTGTTACAAGTTCATTTTCTTATCTTGACAACAATCAGAGCACTAAGGGCAGAGCTGTTTTGAGAAATTCATCTATTCTCATCCATTTCAATCAATCTTTTTTTGATTTTCACTTCTCTGAAGATTGCTCCATCACACTGAGTTTCTATAGTATAGGAAGAACATAAGATATATGGGCTACTGTATTTAATCCATGTACAAGCTTCATTTTTCACACTATGAATGATGTGGTAAAAAAAATAGCTATATTGCCATCTTAAAAAAAAAAAGCCCTTTCACAATACCTCAGATCACTGTGCATTTCACTGTGTGCATTTCAATTCCCAGGATTCCACAACCGGTACTGGGAAGTTGAAAAACACTGCCTCAGGTATAGAGGGGGACTAGAACAACTAGTGTTGCTGTCTCCAACATAGAGGCCTGCTGCTCTTTTTCCATCAAGTGACAGCCAAAGGTACAAAGACCTGGAATGATTACTTGGTAACCCTGGATATTTGCCTCCCCACCTATAGATTGTGTAATAAGCACCTTTCACACAATGCTTTTTAATAAAATAGAGAAAAGGTGTAGGCTAGTTTTCTAATTTTAGTCATGCCAGGCCATAGTCAATGTCCTAGCTAACAATAGAGATGGTACCTGGCACAGCTAATATGTCACAACAATGATTAAATAGCTCATGCTATTTTATGCAAGCTACTATCTTTAATCTAGAAATTACCTGCAAACCAAAATGTTGTTGCTTCAACTGCCACGTTTTGGTATAATTCAACGGCTGGTTATCACCTATAAAGGCATTCATGACTCTGAACCTGAAAATGGTAACTACAGAATTGCCTTTTTCCAATTGTGCCTGCCCACCCAATAAAATCTGACAGAGCTGGTATGCTCTGGATCCCATCATTAAAGCAATGGCTTTTTAGTGACCTTGCAGGTAGACTTCCTTTGCAGCGGCCTCTGTCTTCTGGATTAGCACCTTGCCCCCTCCTCCCCAAGTTCATATAACCCTCCCTGACCTATGCGTTAGGAAAGCTTTGTTCATTCAGCACAAGATCCTGGGATAAGGTAATTTTTGTGCTGCTGTTTGGATATTGACTTCAATGTGAACGTGGCAATTGTTGCATTGCTCCCCATGTGAGTTTTAATTCTTTTGGTATTATGACTGCTTTTCTTTTGTTGTTTTAAATTGTATTATTATATAGTAGTGGGGTGCCCCAGGGCTCTGTTCTGGGTCCAGTGCTCTTCAACATCTTCATCAACAATTTGGACGAGGGGATAAATAGGGAAATCATCAAATTTGCTGATGACACCAAGCTGGCAGGAATAGCCAACACTCCAGAAGACAGGCTTAAGATACAGGAGGATCTGGGCAGACTTGAACACTGGGCACTATCTAACAAAATGAAATTCAATGGTGAAAAAAGCAAGGTTCTACATTTAGGCAAGAAAAAAAAATGTACAGGTATAATATAGGGGGTACCTTGCTCAATAGTAGTAACTGTGAGAGGGACCTCAGAGTCTTAGTGGACAATCACTTAAATATGAGCCAGCAGTGTGCTGCAGCTGCCAAAAAGGCCAACACAGTGCTAGGCTGCATTAACAGAGGGATAGAATCAAGATCACGTGAAGTATTAATACTACTTTACAATGCCTTGGTAAGGCCACACTTGGAATACTGCATCCAGTTTTGGTCACCACGATGTACAAAAGATGTTGAGACTCTAGAAAGAGTACAGAGAAGAGCAACAAAGATGATTAGGGGACTGGAGGCTAAAGCATATAAGGAATGGCTGCTGGAATTGGGTATGTCTAGTTTAACGAAGAGAAGGACGAGGGGGGACATGATAACAGTGTTCCAATATCTCAGGGGCTGCCACAAAGAAGAGGGAGCGAAGCTATTTTCCAAAGCACTGAAGGCAGGACAAGAAGCAATGCATGGAAACTAATCAAGGAGAGAAGCAACCTAGAACTTCCTGACAGTTAGAACAATTAATCAGTGGAACAACCTGCCTCCAGAAGCGGTGAATGCTCCAACACTGGAAGTTTTTAAGAGAAGACTGGACAGCCATTTGTCTGAGCAGGGGCTTGGACTAGATGACCTCCCAGGTACCTTCCAATGTTTTATTACTATTACTATTATTATTATTATTATTATTATTATTATTATTATTATTATTATTATTATTCATTATATGGTTATACATTGCCTAGAGTTGCAGTAACTGAGTCAGCTTATTAAACTAAACAAACTAGAAGGTAGATATGGCACACTGGTGCACAACTATAAAATAGTATATAAAGTGATAAAAGCGAAAATGGTTTAGAGCAGATATGTTCAACCCTCAGCCCATGGGCTACATGCAGCTCTGAAAAGCGAGTAATGCAGTCCAACAAGTTCATAAACCTTTAACATTAATATGTGATTTATATATATTAACTATATTATATATTTTATATGTGGCGCAAGACAATTGTTCTGCACTCAATGTGGCCCAGGCAAGCCAAAATGTTGGGCACCTGTGGTTTATTAGAATATAAGGATAGAAAGGAATGTAGTGAATGGTATTAGCATATATTTCTTCTTCTTTTCCTTATTTTAAGTCTGAAATTTCTTTGTCTTAGCATGCCTTCATTTTTCATATGGAATAATTTGCATATATATGTAATATTATTTATGCATATTTTGAGTAGTTCTTTGCTCTTTATATAATTAAAACTCTTGTTCTCATAACTAACTGAACAAAATGATGCATCAGAGGGCAACAACTTTTGAACCAAGATACCTTAAATGGGCTAACTTACAGATTTTATCCAAATATAGAGCCATGACTTCTGTGGAATTGAAATTGAAATTTGACAAATTTTATAAAACATTTTATGACATCAAAATTAGTATAAAATCTTTATGACATAATTCAAAATATCATAAAACATTTCCTATGTTGATGTTTGACTGTGTATATAGTTCAGTATGGGCATTTTCAAGGCAGATGCATCTCTGAATATACCGTAACTTTTCCAGTAAAGGCAGTAAGTTAGAAGGCATTGAGAAGAGCATTGATAAGAAAATATATCTGAAAATGATGACCCAACAGGTCACACGTTGTCTAGTCTAGTTAACCTTACTAGACTAATTAACTAAGCAAATTCTGTCAAGAGGCAGACTGAAGAATGGTGTCCTATAGAATCTACAATTCTTTATTGTTGTTAGTTGCAAAGTCATGTCCAACCCATTGCAACCCCATGGACAACATTCCTCCAGGACTTCCTGTCCTCTACCATCTTCTGGAGTCCATTTAAGCTCACGCCTACTGCTTCAGTGACTCCATCCAGCCGCTTCATTCTCTGTCATCCCCTTCTTCTATTGCCCTCAATCTTTCCCAGCATTAGGCTCTTCTCCAGTGAGTCCTTCCTTCTCATTAGGTGGCCAAAGTACTTGAGTTTCAACTTCAGGATCTGGCCTTCTAATGAGCGGTGAGGTTTGATCTCCTTTAGGACTGACTGGTTTGATGGTCTTGCAGTCCAGGGGACTCGCAGGAGTCTTCTCCAGCACCATAGTTCAAAGGCCTCAATTCTTTTGTGCTCAGCCTTTCTTATGGTCCAACTTTCACAGCCATACATTGCAACCGGGAAAACCATGGCTTTGACTATACGTACTTTTGTTGGCAGGATGATGTCTCTGCTTTTTGGTAGGCTGTCTAGATTTGCCACAGCTTTCCTCCCCAGGAGCAAGCATCTTTTAATTTATTGGCTGCAGTCCCCATCTGTGGTGATCTTGAAGCCCAGGAAGATAAAATCTGTCACTACCTCCATTTCTTCCCCATCTATTTGCCAGGAATTGAGAGGGCCGGCTGCCATGATCTTGATTTTCTTAATGTTGGGTTTCAAGCCAACTTTTGCGCTTTCCTTCTTCACCCGCATCAAGAGGCTCTTTAGCTCCTCTTCACTTTCTGCCATTAGAGTGGTATCACCTGCACATCTTAGGTTGTTGATATTTCTCCCGGCAATCTTAATTCCAACTTTTGATTCATCTAGCCCTGCCTTTCTCATGATGTGCTCTGCATATAAGTTAAATAGGCAGGGCGACAGAATACAGCCTTGCCGGACTCCCAATTTTGAACCAATCAGTGGTTCCATGTCCAGTTCTCACTGTTGCTTCTTGACCCACATATAGGTTTCTCAAGAGACAAATAAGATGGTCTGGTACTCCCATCTCTTTAAGAACTTGCCACAATTTGTTGTGATCCACACAATCAAAGGCTTTAGCATAGTCAATGAAGCAGAAGTAGATGTTTTTTCTGGAAATCCCTAGCTTTCTCTATGATCCAGCGTATATTGGCAATTGAATCTCTAGTTCCTCTGCCTCCTACAATTCTACCCGGATTTTAAACCAGAAAGAAAATGGAATGCCCATAGGCTCTATGTTAACATGGAATTTGGCTCACCCAAATTCATTTAATTTGCAAAATGAATAGGAAACTGACATATTGAAATGCAGAGTATTATCTCAAACATCAGGTTTGTTTTTAGGAATGTCTGTGGTTTTTACCTTGGCCCTATAATCATTCTGAGAATGTAAATTGATGAAGGCTATAGCCTATCACAATCATGGGGAAAAGCATTTTGCTCTTTTC